AGATTGGCGAACAGCGGCTTTATGTAGGCCTCCACGAGAGGCGGCGCCATGCGTTCCGGATCGCCGCCGCCAATGTCGCGGGCAATCAGCCGACCAGATTCCAGAACCAAAGCCTCCCGCATGATTCGCTCCGCATTGGGACTATCAATCAGCACGGACAGCGAGCTGATGCGCTGCTTTTTCGCCGGCACATCCTCGCGCAGTTGAATGGGCTGGGCGAAGAAACGAGAGAGGGTACAGTGAAAACCAGATAAGTTGAACTGTTTGCGCCAGGTTAACATACCACATAGAGCTCCTCGAGAGCGCCAAGGACCGTGCACAGCTCCGCCTGGGAGAAGCGTTTGCTCTTGGGCACCACCAACAGCGGCGCTTGGAAGCCGGCCTATATCAAAGCAAGGATTATCATTATATCCTCGAGCATTTACAAAGATCTCAGACACACCTTAATGGCCCGCTGCAGGGACTGGGCGGCCGCCTTCTGATAGCAACGCACGTCGGCATAGTCCGTCAGCTCCTGGACGGGCGCATAGATCACGGGCAGATTCAGCTGCGACGACTTGAAGCACGAGACGACGCTGTCGAAGGCCTTGTCGAAGGCGCGATGCTCCTCGAACGTGTCGGCCAGCTCGGCGGGCACAGCGCGATCAATGACACACAGCACATCGTAGCTGGACTTGGCCAAAATATTCGACAGCTTAACGGTGCAGGGCAATAGTCTAGGCGGAAAGAAATAAATAGTTTAAAAAATGTTTCAATTTTTTATCGAAATAAAAGTTGTTGCTAATCAAATAAGCCTTAAACTCAGTTGTGAATTTAATTCACGATCGGAAAATGGGTGAAAATGTGATTTATTGAATTAAAGTGAAAAAAAACTGTCTCGGTTAAGGTCGGGTAATACTTCCTGGTATATACATGCATTTGTGGTAAATATAGCGAAAGCTCCCTTGAAAAATTTAATAATACTAATAAATATTTAAATATTAACAAGTGGTTGCTAATTAAATAAACCTAAAACACAGTTGTGAAAGTACATTGAAATAGCTAAACAAATTCCACGAGCGGAAAATGGGTGAAAATATGAAGTTAAAGTTAAAAACTCCTTAAAGGGAGTTTGACTAAAATACGGAAATGGTATTGAAATCCGAACAAACATTTCGGGATCGAAATGGAATCGATTGTTTTACAAAATTTTGAAAACAAACGAAAGAATATATATTTTCCTATTTATTTTATTATATTGGGGAACTAATTCCGAAGTACTTTTTAATTCACTAAGAGTTCTGGGCACTTTAATTTATGCAAAACAGCTGACAATTAGTTTCGGTTAGGAATGAAAACGACTCCGAAAACGTTTCCATTCGGAATCAAGAACACCCGAAAGCAAACGTGTCGAATCGTACTTGTTTTTACTGTTGAAATCGAATCGAAATCGAAAAGTAGAATTGTATGCATATATTCCCATTCATTTAATTGCTGCACGCAGTTAAAACTTCATTGAAATGCAATTTAATCACGTCGGTCCTTTTTTTTTTCAATTACTTGTCAATCGAATGGGAAGGGCAATTGCGGGCTACACGCCTTGCTAAACAATTTATGCATGTATGTATGTATGTGTGTATGTATGTATGTGTAAGTCTCTTTGGGGCGTGTTGCTGATAAAAAGATAATCTCAATTTCTCAAGTGCAGTAAATAACTGCGATTGCAATAAGTTTGATAAGCTAATCAAAAATTGTTTAAACTTTCCTTTCAAAACGTTTGACGAACAAGCGCCGTTATATGAAAGGAACAAAGCCAACAAAAAGAGCGTGAAGAGAGCTGGACTTTGCAGCCGCTCTTCGTTTGAGCTGTCCTTGCAAATGGCGGCGACATCTCTGATTTTGCTGCCAACAGTTTTGCCAATTTAGCTACTTTATAGCTGCATTTGGCCTTTTCAGAGAAAACAGCTGCCATTTTAGACAGACAGATTTCCATTTTTTCAGCATCTCAGTAAACCTGTTTACTGCCAATTTGTGCTCAAAAAGTTAATTTAGCTACTTTTAATTGGATGCAGGCTGTTTCTGTAACAGTTGGCAACTCTAATGCAAGCAGATCTCATTTTACTTACTTCTCGAGTCCCATGTTGATGATGTGGAGAGCGGCAACAACTGCGGCGTACGGCAAGTGGAGAGTCACTGACTGGGCGACGGGCGTGGGGCGTTCGTTGAGATTGAGATTGCAAATACAATGGAATACTGGAACTGGAAGTGGCGATAAGGTGCCGATAATGTTTGCTTATTTTCTTGTTCGTTTTTTAATTTGTTGCTTGTTATTAACCAAAACGTTTGCGTTGACAGCACAAATGATTGTGTTTGATTTTGCAGCGCAGCAAGCGGCTTTATATAGCGCGCAACGCGACGCCTTTGTTTATAACAAACAACTGTCCACGACCTATGATTAATTGTAGGAATGTAATAATTGAAATTGTAGCTCGCACAATAACAATATTGCACTCCGGCTTCTACTCACGTCGTTGCACTGAGCAAACGCAAACACTTGGCACTTGGCGGTCGGATGGCTTGGCTTGGCTATTCTCTTGCCAGTCACGTTCACGGCTGCTGTTTAAAGAGCGAGGCGAGGCTGGGGCGAAACACGAACAGCTGACGACTGTTGAATAAAGCCGGTCAGCTGTTCGGGCGCAGCGTTGCCAACTATATCAAAGTCGAACTCAACAATATTTAAACAAACGTAAATGTTCAATTCATTTATGGTTGTATAATAAAATATATTTGTGCTTAAATTACGTTTAAACAAATGTTTGCCATGTTAAATGTTTTATTTATTATTTTATATGATTTGCAGTAATAAAAAAATATAATCTAAGAATATGTCAACTTATTAGTTTGTTTACTGGGCCTACATAAATATGGTTTGCTTCCATATGGTTCACAAATTCTACTCCCCATTTATAAAGCCCTGTATGTCTATAATTAGCTGCGGCAGCTGCTTGGCTTCCAGCGCCAAAAGTTTTCTGTACGGTTTTAGAACGCCTTTCTTGGCCCTCGGGCTCTCATCGGCCAGGCCCGCATCACATTCGGCATCCACCGTGAACTCAAAACTGAATTTGGAACGCTCGACCAGGAGCTCCTCCTCGGCATTGGTATACTGATCCTCGTCGGAGGTGCTCTTTTTAGCCGCATTCCGATGGAATTTGACCAGCAGCAGCAGCGTATCAAAATTGAATTTCATTTTCTTGGCCTTGGCCGCCTCGATCTCCTGATGCAGGTTCTGTAATAAGGGCACAGATATCTGTGCTGGTATGTTGATGAAGCGCTCGTTGATCAGGAAGCCGACGTGACTCTGCTCGTTGTCCAGCAGTTCGCGCAGCTGCTTGTGCACCTGCTTTGTGGCATGCTTCTCGGCGCGTTCCAACAGATATTTGCACAGCTGTTCAATGACGGGCTTCTCCTTTTTGGCCGTCAGATTCAGCACGGAGGTAATGCCAAAGATGGTATCATCCTCGACCATGTTGTCGTCCGTTTCGCTCTCGGGCCCATCGTCCAGGCACTGGCAAATAACGCTGCCCACAAAGTTTTGAGCTGCAACGGCGACATTTTAATAGAGATGTGCATAGGAATTATAAATGAATTGTTACCAATAAGCAATTGGGCCAACTGATTGCAATTGATTTGGGCGCGCGGAAAGAGACGCTGCAGCAGCTGCGATATGCCCTCCGCATCGGGATCTATCGGAGCGCGTCCTTCGAACTCAACTTGCAACTCCTGCGAATAAGTTATTTCTGTATAATTCGGCAAAACTTTGGACTGACAGCGCCTACCTCCGTGCCTTTGTAGACATCCGAGTACGATTCTTCGCTATCCTCACTTTTCATATCCTCATCATCATCATCATCATCATCATCCTCTTCCTCTTCATGTTCACTCTTGTCCTTACTTTCATTATTTTTAACATCTTCATCGCTGGAGCTGTCAGCTTCCTCAAATGTCATTGCTTCTGTTTTCTTGTTCGCTGACATTTTGTATTTGATTTTATTTAAAAAATTATTTCTGAACCGCAGTGAACGAAATGTGCGGAAAACCAAAAACCTTCAGCTGTTTGTCAACACACGTGTTGCTTGGCCTTGCCACCTTGTCAGAATAAGTACTTGTTCTTTTGAGCCGCGCTGTTCACGCTGGTTCACTCTTATACTCTGTTCGCTCAATGAAAATGGAACATATTCGTTCTGCCTCGCCCACCTTTCTTAAGGTCGCAGCTAAAACAAGCCTCAATTTGCAGCTATTTTGAGCTGATATTACACAGAAAAAAGTGTATTGTTATTTGACAGTTTCTTTTTACACTATACAAAACAGTTTCTTATAGATAATTATGCGTGCATCGTCGTCATTTTTCCGACTCGGGTTCGCCCTTTTTCAGCTGCTCCTCGTATTGCTGCTGTGTCAACAAACTGGCCTTGATATCGTCGCAATTCTCGATCTTGGGCAACAAAATGGCAATGTAGCCCGCACCCTCCGGCGCCTGCTCGAGCTGCTTGGCGTCCGTTAGCAGCGCCGTGTTAACCTCGACCAGTTTGCCGCGTATGCAGCTGGGTATTTTATAGGTGTTGCCCGCGTCTGTGGTGAGCACGGCCAGCGTTGTGTCCGCCTGCAGTATCATGCCGCCCTTCTTGGCCTTGCCCTTGACCACATTCTGGCTGCGATCAACGTTGCCCACATTGTAGCTAACCGAGGCAATACCCTCGCCGTAGGCGGGATGCGTGGGCGCCAGGCAAACGAGGCAAATGCGATTGGAGTGATAGAGCACCTGGTAGGCAGCTCCGGCTTTGATATAGTAGTAGCGCGTAAAGAAGCGATCCACCATGCTGGGATAGTTCATCATAGGATCATAACAGTCTGTAATGGGGCTCACCAGTTGCCCACAAATCAGCTGCTCTTCCTGCTGAAAGTAGTACGGCGCAAAGGGATCCTCCCCAGCGCTGGACGCTGCTTCGAGAGTTGCCATACTTTTAGTTGGCTTCGCCCTGCTGCAGTTTCTCCTTGTACCGGGCCTGACGTTCGCGAGCCTTGGCGCGATTCGCAGCGGAGCGTGCAATACGCTCGGATTTCAGGCACTTGACCACCTGGTCGTCGATGGTGTTGCAAATGCCAATAAACTTGGCAAAGGCGTGCTGCGGGCGGGTGAGGTATTGGGTTAGCACGGCGCAAACTAGTTGCAAGAGCTTCACTTACATTTTCGTGGCACGCTTTGAGTTCCTCTATTAATTTATTGCAGGCCGGCGTGTGTAAATGTGATGCCAAATCTGTGTGCATCTTCAATTGCTTCCGGATCAATGAAACATATGCAATTCAATTTATTTATTTATTTTTTCGTTTCTCTTACGCAAAAGTGTTTATCGGACTGTTATCGCTTTGCCGGCGACAAATTGAACGCGGCCAGCTGTTTTAACAACCGATCGAAACACACTAAAAAATGCCAAATGCAAATAATACCCTAATGTCAACGGTTGCTTGGGATTTTTATTTTTGACTGGAGTTTTTTGGTATTTTCAGTTTCGGCCAGCTGCTTTAACAACCGATTGAAACATACTAAAAAATGCCAAATGCAAACAATACTCAATGGCAACGGTTGCTTGGGTTTTTATTTTTGAAAAAAGTTTTTTTTTTGGTATTTTATGTTTTAGTTTTATTTTATTTATTTGTGTATTTTACCCGCTCTCACAGTTTTGTTTTATATATGTTGTCTGCTTGTCATATTATATAGGTATATATTGTCAAATTTCACATTTTATATTACTCACATGCCTTTATATTTATCATTCATGCATAATTAGAAAAAATTGTTTTAACGTCTTCACTGTTTACTTTTTACCAAAAAGTCTTATCAACTACATCATCGAAATAGGGTTGCCTGAAAAATAAACTAACTTGTGTTGGTTGCTCAAAAACCTGTTCAAAAACACTTCTAAACTCTCAAAAAATTGTGCGCTGTTGTAACAACTAGTTAAAAAATGGGTTGCAATGGCAATTTTTCCAATAGGTGAATAAAGGGTTTAATGTTAGATATCGTCAATAGATCTTAGTTAATTTAGCTCTGCCTGTTCGTTAAGTTTCCTACGCTCAGCTGATTTTACTCTACTAGAAAGACTCAATGCTATCTCTCTCTGCTAAAATTCACCAAACGGTGAATGGTGTATATGTGTGTGTGTGTGGTTTTTACGCTCTCACTTGTGCATTAGTTTCTCTCATAAAGCTCTCAGTTCGGTTATATTATAAGTATTTAAAATAAAATTCCAGCTCAGATGAAAATAAAAGATTGCTATGTTAAATAACAAAGAAAAAACACTCTCCAAAACTCTACAAAAAAAAAATCATCGATCTCTTTTGTCTTACGCTGTTGTTGTTCTTGTTCGTCAATGCTTTTTGTGTGTTCGTCAATGGATGACAAGTACGTTAACAATACTTTGCTCTCAATTGTTTTTCTCTCTCGCTCACGCTCTCATTTGTTTGTGTGTCTCTCTCACTCTCTCTCTTTTACGCTCTCACTCTCCATTGCTGATGCAGTTAATTGTCTCTAGACAGTTACCGTTGCCGATGTCACATTCTCTCTAACTCTCATTAAAACAAACTAAATGGCAGGCTTACTCCTCGACGGAGCCAATACCTCAACTCGTCTTTTTGGGCTCGGCCTGCACGTGGCTCGCCTCCGCCTCTGCCGCCGCCGCGCCGGCCTTTAACGCCTGTGCCTCAATGTTGGCCAATGCGGCTTCCGACATTTTCTTGTATTTACCGGCCAATTCGGGCAGCTCATAGGCAATGGCCAAATCCAGCTTGGTTATGGGACAGCCCCGGAAATAGGTGCATGTCTCCGAGAGCTTCTTGAACTCGTACAGCGGATTCAGACGGAAAAAGTCGCGATAGACCTCCGGATCGGGCAAGTCGTAGCGCGAGATATTTGTCAGCGTGGACAAACCCTCATAGATATGATAGTTCTGTGGATGATCAATAATATCATCCGAGATGCGCTTCTTGTTGCCAAACAGAGTCTTGTGATTGTAGTAAGTGTTCAAATAGCAGTCCACCATCTTGGCATGATTACGCACGCGCACCTGCAATTAATGGAGGTAGGTAATCTGGATATATGTGCAGATATGATTTAGAGCCCTGCATCGATTATTTTACTCGGATAAAACTCGGATATTCAATTGATTATACGGAAAACCAAGCGATTCGAGCTTTTGAGCAACGTTCAAACAAGCCATTCATCAAACAAAGTTCGATCTGCTCGAATCAGCAACATGTTCGAACGATTGGCTCGAACACAAGCGAGTCGGATAGCTCGAGCTGTTTACTGAATTGTTCTCTCGCTGCAGGGCTCTGCTAAAAAAGTACTCACGGCAAAGCGACGTGCGCTGGCAATCTTGTGCTCGATCCGCTTATCGATCGCAGTGCGCAGATCGCGGAGGAAGGCACGCTCCTGGGCCAGCAGCAGGCGGGCTGGTGCGCCCTCCTGATAGGGGTTCGTCCACAGCGATGTGGTGTACATGAGTGGCGGCTGGGCCGAAGACATCAGCGGCGAGATGTTCCAAATGAGTGCGCCCTGTACACGCAGCAGCTCTTCGGGCTTGACGGTGTCCGCCTTGTTCAGTATGATGCGCGTCTGATACTCACGCCCCTTCAACTGATCGAGTATGGCCTCCGTCTCGGGGCCGACATCCAACTTGGCTGGGTCGTAGACCAGAAAGATGATGTCGGCGCGATCGATAAACCACTGGCAGGCATCATTGAAGGGGAAGACGCGCGACACCTGCTTGCGTACCTCGAGTATGCCGGGTATCTCAACGATGTTGACCTGAAAAATTCAAAAATTCATTTGTGTGTGAGTGTGTGTGGCACATCAGCTTTAATTTAGCCATTGTCTTTAGCTATTTTCGACATTTAATAACCAAATACTATAAATTGTGCTCTTGGGCAAATTGCCAGAGCCTGAGCATATCAAAAAACATATTTCCCAATCGACGAGCTGCCCTGCCAAAAGCTATTTGGGCGACAAGTTAATGCACTTGGGCAACAAGTACATGTGCCTGGCATACATATATATATATATATATACTTATATTTGGTTACCTTTTCGAGCAGCTTGCTCTTCAGCTTCAGGCCGCGCAGTCGCTCCTCCAGACCCTGACCGAATTTCTGCAGACCCGAAAAGGTATAGTCGGCGGCCAGTTGGGTGCCGTCCAAGACCTCCGTCTCATTGCCCCACATCAATATATTGAAGTAAGCCGGCGAGGGTTCCGCGCCTGAAAATGCAATCAAGTTAGAAGTTCCTATTTACATATTCCATGCATATTCCATGCATATTCCACGCATATTCCACGCTTATTCCACGCTTATTCCACTCATATTTCATTTTCCTTACCGGTTCTCAACGAGTTGGGCGTATATTCATTGTCGGTCAAATAGTTCAGAATGGACGACTTGCCGCCGGACCAGGGACCCATGAACAGTATCAATGGCTTGGAGAAGATCTCCGGATCACTAAAGTGACGATTGCTCAAGTCCCGATACTTGTACAAGGTCTCCAAAGGCTTGACGGCATTCTCATAGATCTTCTTGATGTCGCGCAGAATAATCTCAGCCACATTGTCGGTGGCCTTCTCGCGCGCATTGAACTCCTCGTCCAGCAGCAGGAGCTCCGTGATATGCTGCCGGCTGCGACGGTTCTGTGGAATGACGCCTTCCTGCAGAGAAGCAAGCAGTTAATCACAGGTGACCAATCCTCTAAAGTATCTTTCCAAAACCTACCCAGAGCAATTCGTCTTCTGGCTTGGTGTCATCATCGTCTTCATCTGCAGCGATCGCAGTTTCCTCAGCTTCTTTGGCTTCCTCCGATGCCTCAGCTTCTGGCTGTGCGGTTTCCTCTACAGGGACCTGTTCTGCGGACACAGCTGGCTCTGGCTCTTCTTCCTTCTCCTCCGCCTGCTCCTCTACCGCTTCGGGCTCAGCCTCTGCAGCTACCTCCTCCTCCTTTGAAGCCTCCTCTTCAGCTGGGAACTCCTCAGCAGGACTTGGGGGTGACTCAATCTCGACAACTGGGGCAGCATCAACCTCACGCTTGCTGCGTTTTTTCACCTCCTCCTCCTCCTCGTCATCATCATCGTCGTCGGCGAGCTCATGGCTGTCGTCGTGAACATTGGGTATGCCATCGCCGTCCATGTCATTGTCGTGCACATTCAAGATACCATCGCCGTCCATGTCCTCGTCCTTCTCGTTTACCTTGCTGTCGCCATCAATGTCATCATCCAGATTATTTGGCACGCCATCCCCATCGATATCCATGCTCTGTGGCTCCTCGGAATTGGTCAGGCCGTCGCCATCGACGTCGTGATCCTCATCGTTGTGAACGCCATCGCCATCTATGTCGCTGTCCTCTGTTAAAGGGAGAAATGATATGTTACGTTATGTTATGGAAGATAATTTTTGGTTTCGTTTTACCATGATTCAGGGTACCATCTCCATCGATATCTTCGTCCTCTGTAAAAGTTGGGTAATTAGCTGGGGAACTATGCGTAATGGATCAGCAAAGACTTACCATGGTTCACTTTGCCATCTCCATCCAGATCTTCGTCCTTGTCATTTGGCAAGCCATCGCCATCCAAGTCGTTGTCCTCTACAATGAGCAACATATTCCGTGTGAGTAAAATGATATATTATCTCAAGTTGGGAATAAAAAGTTATTATTAAATGAAAGAAATAATTAATCAGGTATATAGTGGGGTAGAGCAGAATGAGTCGAAGAAGTTGGGTGCTTAGTCCATACCGTGATTCAAAGTACCATCCCCATCGATATCCTCGTCCTCTGCATAAATAGAACCTTGCATAATTTCGCCTGCTACGACAGATGATACTCACCATGATTCACCAATCCATCGCCATCCAAATCCTCGTCTTTCTCGTTTGGCAAGCCGTCGCCATCCAAGTCGTTGTCCTCTGCACGAAAGGAATTCCATGAATGGAATAAAGGATGTCGAACTTCGACTGAGGTCTTACCCTGATTTGGTATTCCATCGCCGTCGATGTCGTTGTCCTTCTCATTGGGAATACCATCGCCGTCGATGTCAGAGTCCTCGTCATTGGGAATACCATCGCCATCGATGTCGTCGTCCTCGTCATTGGGTATGCCGTCTCCGTCGATGTCATCATCCTCGTCATTGGGAATGCCGTCTCCGTCGATGTCATCGTCCTTCTCATTGGGAACGCCATCGCCATCGATGTCATCGTCCTCATCATTGGGCACGCCATCGCCATCGATGTCGTCATCATCCTCATTGAGTATGCCATCGCCATCGATGTCATCGTCCTTGTCATTCGGTATGCCATCGCCGTCGATATCATCGTCCTCATCATTTGGTATGCCATCGCCA